TACTTTTGGCCGTCAAAGCAAGCCATGTGCCAACTACTGCTAACCAAGAAGCTAATATTAAAAACTTTTGTCATGTTACGACAAAAAAAAAATGTTAGACTTCAGTAGGAAGGGGAAACCGGTTAACGTGGAAAGCTACAGTGACCCATATGGTGGGGAGTATGAGAAATCATGGCTAAGTCTTAGAAGGGAATATAAAAACTAGAAGAAAAGACGAACAGTGAATTCGGGCCGAACATTGAATACCCTCCACCATTTGAAAATTTGAAAATTTTCAAAAAATAAAATCCGCTACGAATTCTGTTAAAATTTTAAAAATACCGAATATAGCAGTTATATTGGGGTCTATACCACGAGGACCTACATAGGCATTGTTTGTCATAAGCCATTACCATACACGGATTCGAAACTTGAAATAAATGGTGAATAATGTAGCTAACATCATCAAAATACCGTATATAGAGAGGTTTCTTTATATCGCAGATATACGGAGACCTGGGTCTGCATGGACAATTTTGTATATCAGACTGTTTACGAAATTCAAATACGACATTTCAAACAATTTCGGTGAGTATTGTACCAAAAATCGAAAAGTACCGAATACAGGGAAGTGCTGATATATGGGGCCTATACGAAGACGAGGACCTGCATAGACAATTTTCTGTCACAGACTGTAGTTCCCATTACGAACTTTAAATACGTAAGTTGAAACTACTCCGGTGAATAATGACGCTAAAATCATTAAAATACCGAATATCCGGAGGTACCGTTATATGGGGCCTATACGAAGACCTGGATCTACATAGACAATTTTCTGTCACAGACTGTAGTTCCCATTACTAACTCTTAATACGTAATTTGAAACTACTTCGGTGAATAATGCCGCTAAAATCATCAAAATACCGAGTATAGGGAGGTCCAGTTATATTGGGAGCTATACGAAGACCTGGACCTGCATAGGCAATTTTCTGTCACAGCCTGTAGTTCCCATTACTAACTCGAAATACGTAATTTGAAACAACTCCGGTAAATAATGACGCTAAAATCATCAAAATACCGAATATCGGGAGGTCCAGTTATATTGGGAGCTATACGAAGACGCGGACCTGCACAGACAATTTTCTGTCATAGGCTGTAATAGCAATTACGAACTTCAAATACCAAATTTGAAACAATTCCGATGAAAAATGTCGCTAAAATCATCAAAATACCGAATATCGGCAGGTACTGTTATATGGGGGCCTGCACAGACAATTTTCTGAATTATGCTGTAGTATCTATTACGAACTTCAAATACCAAATTTGAAACCAATGCGGTGAATAATGTCGCTAAAATCTTCAAAATACCGAATATCGGGAGGTACCGTTATATGAGGGCTATATGAAAACGTGAACCTACATGGCCCATTTACGAATTTAACCTGCCTATTGGCAAAATAAGCATGTGCGCAAAATTTTAGCCTTATATCTTAATTTGTTCGAAAGATAGCGTGATTACAACAGACAGACAGACAGAGGACATCGCTAAATCGACTTAGAATGTTAACGCTGATCAAGAATGGAGGGCATATTGACTTTGTCAGACCCAGCAATATACTTTGTATTTCGTATTTCGAAGAGTTACAAACGGATTGACAAAGTTAATATACCTTCCATAGTGTGGTGGAGGGTATAAAAGCAAGCAAAGGCTATAGTCGTGCAGGGCCGATTATGCAATACCATACATTCGTTACTATAATATATTGACCTCTTTAGGTCAAACCCCATTTTGGTCGATTTTGTTTTTAAAATAATGCCATACACCCCTGCAAAATTGTTACCTTTGGTTTTTGACCTGTGGTTTTGTTGTTACGGAGTGCATATTATGGATGAACAATATATAAGAGAGCTATAGCTTATCTGACCCGATCTTCACCAAATTTGCCGTACTAGCTTCCGGACTCAATTCGGTCGTAAGTGTCAAATTTCATCCCATTTGGGCAAATATTAGACTTTTGGTGCACAATAAAAATTAAATCGGACGAAGTTATATATGGGAGCTATATCCAAATCTGAACCGATCTCGATAAAATATGGCAAAGATATTTCTGAGCTGTATTTGATATATTTCCCCGAATATCGTTGTTACAGAGTGCATATTACGGCTGCGGAGGACAAAAACAACAAATCGGATGAACAATATATGTGGGAGCTATAGCTATATCTGAACCGATTTCGATAAAATTTGGCATACTTATTTTCAGGCCTAATTTGGTTGTATGTGCAAAATTTCATACTATTCGGGCTGATATTACACGTTTGGTGCGCAAAAAAGGGCAAATCGGTCGAAGATATATATGGGAGCTATATCTAAATTTTTACCGATCATCTCCAATTTCAATAGGGTTCGTCCTTGGGCCAAACAAATGTTGTTTGGAAAATTTGATTTCAATCGAATAATAAATGCGACCTGCATTTTGTTCACAAGAATACATGGACAGACGGACGGACAGTGATGGACAGACAACTCAGAAAGTGATTCTATGCAGATCATCAAAAGGAACTATGGGTCTATCTCGTTTCCTTCTCCATGTTACAAAGAAATGCACAAAGGCATAATACCCTGACCACCTTGTGGTGTAGAGTATAAATATTATTTTATATTAGCCTTCCCATAATTATCACACTACCCCTCTCCCCTCTACAAATTCATTTGAAATTTTCTAATTATGCTTACTGCTCTGGACAAAACCACACAAAACTCATATCAAACATGGACAACACACCAGTTCATTGGACTTTTGCCGCTGAGCTAGCTGACTGGACAGCCAGACATAACTCCGAATGGTCAAGGTAAATGTCCACACAGACACATTTAACTCTCCTTAACCTATTGCAAACGTTAAATGGCATTTGGTGTTGAGTTGTTTTTATTTTCGCCATTTCTGGCTAACTGCTTGAAAAAAAGTAGAGAACAAATTTGAAAAAAAAAAAAAAAACAAAAATTCCGCCGTTGAAATAAAACCAACTGCAAATGGAGTAATTTCTAGTTACAATTACTGAAATTGCAATGCATACAATTTTATGAAGTTCATTTTGAAATGGAATATTTCCATGGGCAAATGTGCCGTTTGCATAATTTGCAGAAAAAACACCGGTAAACTTTTATGGACACTAAAATGGATATGTGTTGCACCGTGTGAGGAGGTTTTTATGTGTCAGGAGGAGTTGTGGTTTTGGGGGTCGAAAAATCTAAACAGCGTTAGATTACAAATTTTTGCGCTAATTTTTAGGTTGTAGTAAGTGATTTTTACAACCTCCACTATAGTATGGAGGGTATATTAAGTTTGTCATTGCGTTTGTAACACCTCGAAATATACATTTTAGACCCCACAAGGTATATATATTCTTGATCAGCATAAAATTCTATGTTGATTTAGCAATGTCCGTCCGTCTGTCCGTCTGTGGAAATCACTCTAGCTTCCGAACGAATTGAAGTAGATTGATAAAATTTTGCTCAAACATATATTTTGTCTACAAGACTTTTGGTATTGAAAATGGGCCAGGTAGGTCCACGTTTTGGTACAGCGGTATCGGTACCTCCGGATATTCGGTATTTTGTTTGATTTTAGCGACATTATTCACCGGAATTGTTTCAAATTTGGTATTTGAAGTTCGAAAGGGATTCCACAGCTTAAGCCAGAATATTGTCTGTGCTGGTCCACGTCTTCGTATAGCCCCCGTATAACGGTACCTCCCGATATTTGATATTTTGATGATTTTAGCTTCATTATTCACCGGAATTGTTTCAAATTTGGTTTTTGATGTTCGTAACGGATACTACAGCCTAAGATAGAAAATTGTCTGTGCAGGTCTACGTCTTCGTATAGCCCCCATATAACGGTACCTCGAGATATTTAGTATTTTGATGATTTTAGCGACAGTATTCACCGGAATTGTTTCAAATTTGGTATTTGATGTTCGTAATGCATACTTCAGCCTATGACAGAAAATCATCTGTGCAGGTCAACGTCTTGGTCCACATAACGGTACCTCCCGATATTTGGTATTTTGATGATTTTAGCTTCATTATTCACCGGAATTGTTTCAAATTTGGTATTTGAAGTTCGTAATGGATACTACAGCCTATAACAGGCGTTTGTCTGTGCAGGTCCACGTCTTCGTATAGCCCCCATAAAATGGTACCCACGATATTCGGTATTTTGATGATTTTAGCGACATTATTCACCGGAATTGTTTCAAATTTGGTATTTGAAGTTCGTAATAGTTAATACAGCCTGTGAGAGAATATTGTCTGTGCAGGTCCACGTCATCGCATTGCCCCCATATAACGATACCTCCCGATATTCGGTATTTTTATGATTTTAGGTACATTATTCACCAATTTTTTTAAGTTTCGCATTTAAATATTGTGCCAGCTTATGACAAATGTTACCTATGCAGGTCCATGTCGTCGGGCAGACCCTAATATGATGGCTACTTTTGGAATTTTTAAGATTTTAACAGAATTTTTAACGGATTTATTTATTTATTTATTTTTTATTTTTTTTTTTTTTTTTGTGAGAATTGCCAAATTTGTTCCAAATGGTGGGGGGTATTCCCAATTCGGCTCGGCCGAACTTACGGCTTTTTTACTTATTTTTGTGTGAGATTTTTCGTTTAATGACCATACCAGGTCAATTTTTAATGTATTTTATTGGAGGGCAATAAGTTTTCAAACACCAAAATCTCGTTTCAGTTTTCAGTGCTTAAAAAAATTTCAGAACAGTTAGAAAAAGTTGGAAAGATTGGTTTTTAAAAGTTTGAAATTAAATATTTTGTTTTTTACTTTTTGAACATTTTCCATATTTTCATTTGACGTCATTGGGATACACCATTTATTCCACCTTCCATGTGTATATGTGTGTGTGTGTTGATTACAAGGCAGTTTTTGATTTTTATCTTTTCTTCCCCCTTTTTTCAATTTTTTTTTGTATTAAATTTCCTTGAAATGGCCTTACCTTAACTGGAGTATATGTCAAAGTGGACCCTTGTGCCGAGTGTGCTCGAAAACCACTCTGTGGCATATCAAAGGTTTCGGCTGTATTATTAAATGACCACTTGAAATTTTCTGGCGGTGGAAATGCATCAACCTCACACAGGATCTCAGCGGCTTCATTGCGGGCCACACCATAGATTTTCTTTTGATCGGCCCGGCAAATTGGTTTGTCTAAAAAGAGAGGAAAGAAGGGAGAGAGAGAGTTACATAGGCATCAATGAAAAGAAGAGCAATTAGAAATATGGAATTTAAATTGTTAGGGCAAAGCTATAAGAAGAAAGGGTTCCTTTAGGGACTGACTAGTATTTTAGACAATATTTTATCAATTTTGTTCAAGAAAAGTCGATTTTTTGTAATAATAATAATAATAATAATAATAATAATAATAATAATAATAATAATAATAATAATAATAATAATAATAATAATAATAATAATAATAATAATAATAATAATAATAATAATAATAATAATAATAATAATAATAATAATATAATAATAATAATAATAATAATAATAATAATAATAATAATAATAATAATTATAATAATATTTTTTTGCGGAGCACTTGGGAAAAATGCACATTTACGCATTAACGTGAGCTCTGAGAGTTACTACAACCTCGGCACCACTTTCGTATTACTTCAAGGTGGCTCCCGGGCTTCTTAGGCCTTCTTCTTATAGCTTGCGTCCAAGCTCCGCTATTCATTTCGAGGTCTTAGAGGGTTGTTTAAGTCCCTCTTTTTTGTTTGTAATAAATGCTCGTAGAATTTTCAAATTGCATTCCAGTTTTCTTCGGCTTCTATCATTTTCGCAACTATGTTCGTCACTGTGATTGCACCTGCTTACACTTCTACTTCTGAGCGTAGGTTTGTCCACCGACCGCATGAGAAAAATGTATGTTCTACGTCGTCTAAAATTTCATCGTCTTCATACAAACAATAAGGGGAATCAGTCTTTCTGTGCTTAAACAGATATTTATGGAAATACCCATGTCCGGAGAGCATCTGCCTTATAGTTTACATTACCGTGCTTCCGTTTTGTCCATGCTTCTATATCTGGGATGAAATAATTACAGCCGACCGGTAGTGCTATTAGACACACCTGATGTAAAAAACGCGTTCAATAGCCTGAGGTGGACAAAGGAATGAGGTGGAGTAATAAGAAGCTATCTAAGTGGAAGAGTGCTTAAATACAGTACACGCGATGGCACCAGAGCGGTGCAAATAACATCAGGAGCTGCGCAGGGCTCCATTCGAGGCCCCGACCTATGGAACATCAGTTACTATGGAATACTAAACCTGGATATGCCCCAGAACACCTTTTTAGTAGGATACGCAGATGATATTGCTGCCGTCATCCAGGCCAGGACCATGGATGATGCCCAACGTAAGCTTAAACAAGTCATGATCCGCATCAGAGCATGGCTGATATCGCATGGATTAGAGATAGTCATGCACAAAACAGAGCATATTCCAGTAGAAAGATATTCCAGCAGGAATCGACATGCACGTGAATTGCATCACCATTCGTACGCAGAGAGCCATAACGTACCTCGGTATAAGACTCGACAATAAACGGACGTTGTCGTCGCAGTTGAGCCTAATGAGCACAAGCTGCTGTTCTTTCCAAGGCGCTGGGAAGATTCCCTCCGCTTAGCAGTGATTGTACATGTTGAGCAATATGTGTGGTCGTACATCAGCTTCCGCCACTATCTGGCCCTGGGGCCTTAATGTTTTCGTAATGTCTCTCGATTTTCTCCAAATTTGATTTATATGCTTCTAGGCTGAATTCGGTGGGATGTATCAAAATCTAGGCAATTTTGAATTATATTTGCCATTTGGTGCACAATTAACACGAAATCGGTTGAAGATATATGGAAGCTATATCGAAATCTGATCCGATTATCACCAATTTCAATTGGGTTCGTCCTTGGGCCAAAGAAAATTTCCTCTCAGTCGGATAATAAATGATTTTTTTCACAAGAATACATTATGGGACGGACGGACTGACTTGCATAAATCGACGCAGAAATTGATTCTATGAAGATCCTCAAAAGTAACGATTTGTCTATCTCGCATTCTTCTCCATATTACAAACAAATGCATACCCTTACTACTACGTGGTGTAGGATATAATAATTATAATAATAAGATCCTAAGAGCTAAAAAGTCAAATAAAAAACGTATTTTTAAACATTAGCTTGTTGTTTAAAAATATTTTTAGATTTCATACATATTTTACGAAGCTGTATAATTTTATCCCAATTATTTATGCTTCACCCTCCATTCAACCTCTGCAAAAATTCCGCCAAACTTTTAAATCCTTTTTCCTCCAAAATAAATCCTTAACAATTCCTAATTCCTTTATCTAAGACAAAGAATACAATTATACGAAAAGCCAAAAGAGAAATCCCAAATCTTTTGCAAACTTATTTCTTTATTTATTTTTTATTTTATGCAATTTTTTTCGGGTTATACAAAATGATATCCTTCCATCTTATTTCCTTCTAATTTAAATTCCTTAAATAATCAAATAATTCACAAAAGAAAAAGAAAAAACGACAACAAATCCAATGAACGAAAATTCCTTATCCAAACAAAACAACAAGACTTGACCCCATATTTTCGATTGAAAAAAAAAAAAAAAAAAAACAAGGAAACCTCGAAAACATTCAACAACAGGATTATAAAAATTCCTTGGACAAAGAAAACATCACAATAAAACAACAACAATTTGCCAAAAATAAAAAAGAAAACGCGGGAAAAAAAATCCCCTGCAATAGGACACGTTTAAGACAACTTATGGCAAAACTGTGACCAAACAAAAGTATTGAAGATGAACGGATGAAATACAACTCCAAACAAATGTCTTTGTGGGTGATGTGAAGAGCCATGGAAGAATTGCCGCAAAGGAAAAACATGAAAACAAAAACTAAAAAAAAAAACGAAGAAAGAAAATGTCCAACGAAAACTTCAACTTATTCACACCACGACAACATAAAACTAAATGGAAAACTTTACGGCCATTGCACATTTATTGACACCAACAACAGAAACAGCAACAACATCAACAACAAGGGGAATACAATCTGTAAGCATTGGCCAGCACAAAATGTGTCAAAATAAAATAAAGCCAAAAAAAAAAAAAACAAGAAGGAAAACTGGAAAACGTTCCATGAATAAAATAGTGTAGGCCACAAATAACATGAATTCGAAAGGGGTATTTTAAGCCCTTAATTTATAGGGGAATTTTCAATACAATTAACAAAACCTTGTTAATCCCCACAAATTCTGAAATCATTTTTTAAAGAAATATATGATTAAATCGGCCTCAGAAATCAATAAAATAATATTTGAAACTGGTTGGTCAAAAAAAAAAAAAAAAAAAAAAAAAAAACAAGTTAAAAAGTATCAGTCGGTATTGCCGCCAGAGATATACCCTCAGCCTATGTTCGATTATCTAAATATATTTTGACTAGTGTTAAGGTTATTCAAACGTTTGACCCTCTATGGAGCAGATCCCGAAGGAATGGGCCAATATTGCCCATTTCCTATCGGACCCAAAATATGATATAAATATTTCGACAGATGTGCGAAGTCTAAATGGAATCGGATGTTAATTTGGCGATTTATGAGCTTCATGGGTACTCATAATTTCAATATTTTGTGGGGGAGGTACTTGATGGAGTGGACCGATATTGTCCATTTTCACACCTGTCCCAGCACTGACGCAAATATTAGGATTCGCAAAGTCGGAGCAAATTCGGATTAGCCTTTCTCTTTCTGTGCAAAAAATTTGTTTTTTTTTTTTTTTTTTTTGAAAATTTCGACCTTTTGTGGGGGAGGTACCAGAAGGAGTGGGCCGATATTGTTAATCTTAACACAAGACCTTGGGTTAATATAAATATTGGGATGTGTGAAATTTGAAGACAGTCGGACTCTTACATAACATTTTATGAGAGTTGTAATTATTCAAAATTTTGACCATTTGTGGGGGAGGTACTTGATGGAGTGGACCGATATTGTCCATTTTCACACCTGTCCTAGCACTGACGCAAATATTAGGATTCGCAAAGTCGGAGCAAATTCGGATTAGCCTTTCTCTTTCTGTGCAAAAAAATTTTTTTTTTTTTTTTTTTTTTTTTTTTTTGAACATTTTGACCTTTTGTGGGGGAGGTACCAGAAGGAGTGGACCGATATTGTTCATCTTAACACCAGACCTTGGGTTAATATAAATATTGGGATGTGTGAAATTTGAAGACAATCGGACTCTTACATAACATTTTATCAGAGTTGTATTTTTTCAAAATGTTGACCATTTGTGGGGAGGTACTTGATGGAGTGGACCGATATTGCCCATTTTCACACCTGACCTAGCACTGGCGCAAATATTAGGATTTGCAAAGTTGGAGCAAATTTGGATTATCCTTTCTCTTCCTGTGCAAAAAATATATTTTTTGAAAATTTCGACCTTTTGTGGGGGAGGTACCAGAAGTAGTGGACCGATATTGCCCATCTCCGAACTCGATCTAAGTTTGACAAAAATATTACGTTGTAGCCAATTTGGACCAAATCGGATACTCCCTTCGAGAGTTATCGTGCGCACCAGCCAGACAGACAGACAGACGGACGGACGGACGGACATCGCTAGATCGACTCCAAATGTTCTGAAACGGATTTGGTCCAAAGAGACCTAGGGTCTAAAACCGTTATTTCGACTAGGCACGTTTTGACCGTATCAAATGATATATACCCTCTGTAGCCATATGGCTGAGGGTATAAAAAATGGAAGACAGCTTTTCGTGGATTTTAGCGGAAAATTAAAAGTGGTCTAAAATGAAGGACAATTTTTATACCCTCCTCCATAGTATGGAGGGAATATTAAGTTTGTAATTCCGTTTGTAACACCTCGAAATATACATTTTAGACCCCACAAAGTATATATATTCCTGATCAGCATAAAATTCTATTTCGATTTAGCGATGTCCGTCCGTCTATCCATCTGTGGAAATCACTCTAGCTTCCGAACGAATTGAAGTAGATTGATAAAATTTTACCCAAATGTATATTATGTCTGCAGGATTTTTGGTATTGAAAATCGGCCAAAAAATCGTGGTTCATGTTTTTGTATAGCCCCCATATAACGGTACCTCCCGATATTCGGTATTT